ACAAACACTAGAAAAAATTATCAGGAAGAATCATCATTCGTAGTGTTTCTTTTATTTGTACAAGCTGGCTGGTAAGATGAGAATTAAGGTATGCATTATTAGCTATTTAAATGTTTGTGGTAAGTGCTACTGTTTACTACCTATCAGTAAATTACATTAATATTTTGCTTTGGTGATCAGCATTTGTCTGGGTCAGTGATCATTCCAATGATGGCATTGGCTATTTTGTTCTATATTAAGAAAATTCCACTTAGAATCAGGTTCACAAATCCTTACCTCCAGACACCATAAAAGCGAATAAACCATACTGCCCTGGGGTGAAGAAACGAATCTGATGACTGATTTTATTTAAAGCAGTTGGTATTTTTTTGCATGTAGTAGTACAAGTATTCACAAGTGCTTTTCACACGACATTTGTGAGTTGTGTGTGCAAAGAAGCGATGGGTGTTTCAGATAGGATTTCAGCTTGTTGACTGTAAAGGATTTACAAGGGCACACACTATTACTACATACCACAGACAAGAAGCAAGCCAAAATGTCTCTCTGCATGTAAGCATGCTTAGGTGCAATATTGTGGGTAACAGGGAACAGATGTTTTACAGTGTAGGCTTAATGTTCAGTTTTGTTGAGTTATTTTTGGTAAAAGTTTCTTTCATGATTGTTGCCTTTTGTACAACCCAGCTGCAAGAAAGTGAGCAAATGCTGGAAGTGTGACAGCAGTATATCTTTTATGTGAAATATCTTGTACAGCTTAATGTGCAATAAAAGAAAGTTATATCTGTCTTCAGTGTAAAGTTTCTGGCATTCAAGCCTGTATGTACAAGTGGGGGAAAGAAACCTTTCTGTTTTTCAATATTGAGTGAAAGGAGACTAATAAGAAAACAATCCTTATTAAGATGTCGCAAGACCATGTTATCACCTTCAAATATTTCCTACAAAAGTGGTTCAAATTAATAAACAATGAAGGCACATTCCTTAACATACAGTACATGCTATTTATCTTTCTACACCACAACACACTGCTACAACTGTATTAAAACTTATTGAAGCGTTAGTACACGCTGTTCTCAGACACATACACTGGAATCTCATATAGTAAGTGGAAAGCTAACTATAATAGCAATTAAAAAAACCCCCATGTATTGCAACAGTACTTCCAGATAGGAAGGTTTTCTTCTAGAGGCCTGAATAGATTAAGTCTTTTACTTGCCCTAAATATCTGTGTAAGACTAAAAATTCCCAAAGATTCAGAACATCTTGATCAGTTGTCTTCTGTAATATTTACTGTTCAGGAAAGCTCTTACTCCGAGTAATCGCTCAGGATTTCATCCTGTCCTTTCTTCCCCTTAACTCAGATGTCCTGTGTGCCTTGTCACATGCAAGAATATTCAGTTATAATAGCTATCAGCCCAGAAAACCACATTCAGACACCTGATATGAAAGCAGCATGCCTACTGATATATGACACAGCACTATTTCATTTAGAAAGCAGAAAAAAACCCACCCTGTATGATGATGTAGCATCTTTCAGCCATGGATTTCACAACCTAAGTCTCTACTACACATTGTAGTTTCACACTATTTTGCCAGTATACTTCCTTCTCAGTGGAAAGATTTCCTTGATAAAGAATTAGTAAGGACTTCCCTGTGTTTCTTGTAATGTTCTTGATGTATTTCACTAAGGGGGTAAATAAGTTATCAAAGACTTTAAATTAGCCAGAAAATTTCAGTATAAAGTTGTTTTACTTCTGTAAGAGTGCAAGAGGACTATTACAGAACTAATATTAAAACTTTGGAGGAACAAAACTGCAATAACTACACATTAAATAGTAGCTGTATTGCTGAAATAGATATTACTGGTAAATTCGATTATCTCACAGCCTCTCCTTGAGCTGGTTCAAAATTATACTGGGTGTAACTCTATTGATTTGATTTGAAGTCAGTGCCGCTACTGCTGGGATAAATTTGGTACTTCTTAGAAATTTTAAGGATGAATCATAGGGGCTCCAAGCAAGTTACTAATGTACCAACTGTGATTAGTAGTATTGACTACGTGAAACTGCAGTCCATATTAATAGAATTTTGCCTCAAAAGTAGAATTAATCACATTCAAGAATTATTTTAAAGTGTTGGATATGAAATCTAATAAGAATTCTTTGATACTATAACATTATGAAGTTTTTCTTGTACTGAACCTAGGGGGCCCAGTGCAACCCCAAGGAATGCAATCACAAAGCCAGGAGCCATTGCAGCCACAGCGCATGTACCCCCCTGGGCAGTCAGCAAAGCCCTCAACTTCCCAGCCACAGCGTCCGCCTGGACCTACAACTCAGCAGCCACGTCCCCAGGCTCAAGGTCCTTCCAGCGCCAGATTATCTAAGGAAGCAGAGCCGCAGCAGCAGCCACAACCACAGCCTGCTCCACAGCCAACTCCACAGCCTGCTCCGCAGCCCGCTCCACAGCCTGCTCCACAACAGAAGCCCCAGTCTCACCCACAACTTAAGTAAGATTTGCTTTATCCATTTTCTCTTCTCATCATAACACAGATTTTGTTGTCGTAGCTGTAATTTGGGAGTTAGTCTAATATGCAGAAAAAAAATGTACATATGTTCCCAAGTCTAAAATGAGGTTAAAACATTTTTTAAAGTTTATTCTCTGTTTATGACTTGTAAGACAGTGTCATTAGGTATATCCTAAGCACTACACGAACTTTCATTTATTAGCTGGGCAATTTCTGGCCCAGCTAGGTCTGAAAACTTGTCATCTTTCTCATATTTCTTTTCTCCTTTTTATGTCACTGACTCATGATCTGGGTGTGCTGTAAGCCTGCACGGAAAAGAGGAAGTCTTATCTATTTAAACTTTTAACCTTGCAGTCACTCAGACAACAGATTCCAGTTTCAAAAGGCCTATCTCAGAAACAATCCAAATGAACATGCTAGACAGTGGCTGCCAAACTCTTTCTTTACAGTCGCACTTCGTTCATGGCTATACATTGCTACTGCCTGTACAGCACAAGCAATACACACAGGCCCTCGCCAGAGAGGACTGCAGCGCTCGCACAGAAAATTGTCTGTAGTTGTCTCACAGCTGGAAGATTTCTTAAGACACAGTGTGCTATTGTTGCTGTATCTAACCAGCCGCACGCTAAAGTAAAGAATATGAAAAGGATCTGCAGGCAAATCCCCTCTCACAGCTTAAACCCAGTGAACAGAAAACACGGGGGAAGGTACTAGCAATGACTTGGTGGTTTTTTCAACATAGCAATCCTGATACGCTATTGCCAGTAGAGTCACAGACACATTCTACTTGTCTTGGTAAGTACAAAGACTGGCATGTAGTCTTTGTTTTATCCAAATAACACATATCCCCTTTTTCCACCCACTCATATGCTAATACCAGCGTGAACTAATTCTGAATCCTCACCTGAGCATAATTCAGTGGAAAAGATGTGTTAGGTGACATTATGCAAAAATGACAATATTTTGCTTGCCTTCCTTGGACAGCGTATTTCTTCTGTTTTATAATCATAAAACTCAAATTAATTCATCCATTATTTTAAGTATATGTAGAGAACAGGGAGGTGAATTTTCTTAAGCAAGATGGAAGACTCTAAACTAGTTTGAAACTTAACTTGTGAACTTCTGCCATTTAAGAGAAACAGTTAAGAACAGGTACAGAAGAACTGTACGATACACTGTTTCCCAGCTTTCTCCCTTTCCTTTAGTTCCTTGTTCAAATCTAGATTCATTTTTCTTTTCTTCAAATGGAAGAGAATAGTCTCTATTTAAATTAAAATTGAAAAGGAGAGAATAATTTTTTTAAGATGCAAGCCATAATATGAGTAGTTTTTCTAACTTTCAAGAAGCAGTTTTAGGTCCACACCAAGACTCAGATCTCCTGCCTGTAGGATTAACTCTATTTGCATGTGTATGCTTTGTATTCACCCACATGCTGTTGCCTAACCTGTATGTACATGTTATTAATCTGTGAATAAATATTTAATTAGGCTACTTATTGTGTTACTAATCAAGTCAAGTGCTGCTTCCCACCCTCCCTCTTTCAGTGAGTACAAACAAACATTTATCAGTCTATTCTCATTAACACAACTATAATTTATGAAAAACCTAAAATGCCTGTAGCACTGTTTGCTGTACATTATTAGTTTAGAGGTAGAGGAGCTGCAAACCATGGAGAGTATAAGACAATCTGAATAAGAAAAGTATTTCAGTTTTACTATAGCCAAAACTGAAATCCTATTATTGCACTGAGATAAAAATGAAATCAGTTAACAAGTTTTACTAATGCATGGGTACCATCGTAAAAAAGATTATGTTAACTCATAAATGTTTTCTATTTTAATTCAAGCCTACTTTTCAAATATTATTTTATCTGACAAATCATGAGTTAAAGTTTTAACTTCAGACATTTTCCTTCTTTCATGTTATTCACACTTACAGAGACTTATGGTTACACGCTAGCACTAAAACCAGAATAGCATTGCTAGACTGCTTGTAGACAAGAAAAATGATACGTGATTTGGGGAATTTTTTTAAAGATATAAAGTGTCATTAAGCCTGCATTGAGGATCAAATGTCTGCTATAGAGAGAGAGCGAGCACATTACAACTTTAGGATTCATTCTTTAAACTATTTCTGATATACCTAATTTTTCTGTGTGCATGACTGTTTGCAGCCTTAATGAGCGCAATTATTGATCATCCTGTGTTGGGTGGTGATTTGGATTTACCAGGCAGGCCCACTTTGTCCTCAAGTTCTAATTTACATCATCCAATTTATTGGAATACAATATTTCAGATCTGTAAAATAAGCAGTGTGTCTTTTAAAGAAAAGATTATCCTACTTCTCAAATCAAAGTACAGAAGGAACGTGCTGTATTGCAGCAGCTCTGTATGCTACACCTAACTATATTGCTTTTGTTGAATGTCCATTTGGTTCACATGCAAACTGTCTACATCTCATGGGCATTCTTCCTTTTCCCATAACTGATACAAGTTATATGTGGATGGAAGCTGGTAGACAATATGACCATACAAAACATGTTGCATTTTTGTCTTGCAGCAAGTCGCAGTCTTTG